GGGGCTACGCCGACCAGTTTCGTTAACACCGCTAGGTATCCACTGGTCCAATCTTGGATCTCACGTATGAGCGCAGGCGCGTCGAGTCGACTCGGAGCAGGCAGCTGTGCGGCGGGGCGCACGGAGCAAGGAGGCGGCGGTGCGACGTGGCGCACGGTGCACAGTTTTGATAAAAACTTAAGTTTAAATACTTATATTTGCTATGGTACCACGCATTGCGGGTTCGGTGCGCTTCATCTGCCTTTGGTACTGTATTCTGAGCATAAACGTGAAAGTTTGTATGTTTGCTACTAAATCACGCAAAAACTACTGAACGGATTTGGACAAAATTTGGTACGCGTGTAGTTTATGACCTGGTTTGAGACTTAAGATCCTTTTTATCCAGGTGATGTTTAAAGATAGATTTCTGTGACAGATAGCCGAGACATATTTACAGGGTTTTGTTACTTTTGAAGTGATAACTTCTTTTGGGAGGGTAAACCGCTCCGTTACGTAACGCGTTACAGCGCCAGTCTGGATTCCCTCTCAAGCATACGGCAGCGGTCGGGAGGCTCCTCCTCTCTCACTCTAACCTGCAGCGCCGCTTAAGTTATCACTTCTATCGTGACGATATTTTTTTTGCATAGCCAACTTTAAGAAGTCAAATTTAAAACGTGTAGGTCGTCGCAGAACCTGTAACAAAGCTTTAAAATCTCGTATTAAAACAACGGTATGAAAGCAAATCAGTGAAACAGAATTTATTGTGCAAGTACCGCTGACAAGTACTAACGTTTAATTTAACGTTGAGCTGGTTCTAAGTTAAAAAATTTACTATAAACTTATTATGAAAGACTTGGCGGTGGCTGCATTTTCTTAAAGTCTGTACTAACATTTAGAGTTCTGTAAGTCTGAGCTAGCCTAATTAGCTTAGCATTTACGTAAATGCAATTATAAAGCTATTGTAGTGAACGCTTTATCCGATTAGTTGACGCTCTTGTTATGCCAGAAAGAGACTTTTACGCATTTACAATTCTCATACAGGATAATAATGATGGAGATGCTTCAAATTCGTTCTTGTAAGCGTCTTGTTAAAAAAAGATTTAGTGTATTTAAAATGTGTAGCAGCATAAATCTATTCTAGATTACGAATTGCCAGTTAAAAATGCGTCCCATTATGTTATAATATAAAATTAATAAATAGCAATATTCTGATTACAACAAGCTTTAGTTATTAACAATATTTAAAAAGAAGAAAGATAAGATAAGTACACAAAGAAACAAAGTACAGTTGTTATTAAAGGTATATCACACTAAATTGACATAAAATATTTTATTTTGAACTACATTGGGAATTGTTATTAATTTGTACTTGTACTGTTACGTTTTAATATGTTATATTTTTTTGCATGCTATTAATGATGGCTAAATAGGTTTAAGATTCTTAGCTTTTAACATATGCTTTATATGCAAACACTTTTTGTCAACCCTATTTAATGCAAATAAAGAGTATTCCATTCTATTCTACAATTAATTGTTCCACATTCCACTGTACATGAGAACGGATATATAAAATAACTAGATACAGATAAATAAAATATTAAGTTGCATAAAACTTAGTTTAACTACGTTTTACGGCTATTAAACAATAGATTTCTTTTTATAAAATCTCAATAATCGTTTAGTGGTTTACACCTAAAAGCATATTTTAGCTAAAAAAATCTTCATTATTTCTTAAGCTTGTGCCTCAAATCAACTTGCACCCTAAGTTAATATTTTACACATTGCAGTCAATTGACTTTCGTAAACTTAAGATTGTTACAAAGCAAAATTAATCGCCTTTATACAAACTACTGGTTTAAAACTGATGCTGTCACTTTTGTTTGCTAAATCGAAGACAGAGACAGCATTAGGTTTAAACAATGACTATCTTTAGTCCTCGAATAAGGCAGCTAATGACGTCAATTCTGGTAAGATTCTCTAAACTTAAACTAAATTTAACATCAGTCTCTCCTTTTCATTCTGTATAGAGAATGACAAGGATATACTGTTGTCAAATTTTAGTTTAGGTTTATAGAATCATGTCAGAATCGATACCAATGTCTTTATTAATACAAGGAATCAATAAACAATGAGATAGTATAATGTACAGCCAATAAAACATTTAAATAACAGCAGTACAGCCAAAGTATGTACAGCCAATAAAACACATATTGTAAAACGATTGATTATGAATATAAATACTTCAAGTTCAAGTTGTATAAATATCAAAATCACTTGGAAAATGCAGAAGTTTTTGACAAGTTCAACTAAGATTAACAAATACGTAGCTGTAACGCAACCATTATTAATCCTATATTAATGGAAAAGTGATTTTTTTACTTAAAATTATTAAAATTAATTCAGGTGATTATCAACTCGCGTGGTCATTGTGGAATATACCAAAATTAGATTATTATTTATGGTCTCTTCTGCCTAAGACTTCATTAAGAGAACAGAAATGCGTTATCCTTCTTCAACCAGAGCCTTTACTTCGTATTTAACGTTCAATATATAGACTTAGGAACCATTATTCTCAAACTTGTGTCAATCTTCAACATCGTTAATTCATTCTTGGCCATAACAAGCACCTATGAAAATCGATGAGTTATGTCATTAGTACGTAAGTCTACGGTAGCCTGTATTAAACGAAACGAGAATCAACTCATAATCATTTCCTTTTCCTTTTTTCTAAAACACTCCAATTAGCCTAACCCCAAAAGTAAGCACTGTAAGGCTTGTGCTACGGGATACTAGGGAACAAAAAGAATACATATACAGTACAGATATAAGTATATATATATAGAAATACACATTGAACATCCATGACTGGAGTATTCATCACAGAAACATCTGCCCCACTGGGATTCGAACCTGGGACCTCATGAGTCGGCGACACCATCAAACCCGACGTATAAACCACTTGACCACGGAGGTCATCCCTTTTTCATCGCATTTTAACTACGAAAGCCGTTTACCATCCTCCCTTTCATAACTAAATCTTTCTTAAGTACACTTTGTATAAACGAGTGCAGTATAATGGTAAATAGTCTAGGTTTGTTGTTTTCGAGTAAGTAAACGCGGAGAAACACAAATGTATAATACACGTAAAATAATAATCCAACATAATATAAAAAGGTGCGGACCAAGAGTCTGTAGATTTTATGAAATAAACGATCATTCTCAGTTGATCCATTAGCTAGATCCAGAATGGACCTAGAAAGAAATTATTTTCTCATTAGATCCTGATTTCAAACTATGGATCTAGTAAGTTTTTTTCTCTTCGTACGATCAGCCAATAAGATTCCTGACCCACCTTATGCTTATGCCTCGATTACACTTGGTCTTTAGCCCGTATTCGGATGCACGAAAGACATTACTCGAATTTGGGCACCCGAAGCAATATTTACACTGGAATACGGGCTGGAAGACGGTGACGGGTAACCAAAACGAAAACTACCCGAACTCGGGCGTTCTCGACTCGTTCATTTACACTAAGTAGTTTACCCGAATTCCATTGGCAATCGTATTAGGGCTACCGACCAATCTAATTGCGCCATTATATTCTTACAACCATTGAAAAACAATAAAATAGAAATTCGTTTGAATGTATGTATTGTAGAAAACAAAGTTGTTATTTTAAAAACAATATTGTTCGTTGTCGGGATGGGGTTCGAAATTATATGACAGTACTTTATTCACCACACAGTTAACACACAATGTTAATCATAACACACTCACTACTCACAGTATTTCACTACAGAAGTGTCTAAACAATCGCACTCGAACACTTTTGTTGCACTTTGATCGCCTTTGGATTCGCTCCGAAATCGCTGTTGAAACTCAACTGTCTCTGCGCGGCACCGATAGCGCTTATATAGGCCAAAAGACGCATTCTAGAAAGTACCCGTTAAATTGAGAGTAAGCTAGCACCCGCGAGTACGAAATATTTACTTATACCTACGCAGGTAACACGCATAACTTGTAAACAAGTGCAGATGTTGTTGCACTTTCTCCCTTACACCGCACTGCATAAGGCTCATTTTAGAATGAGCCGCATTACTCGACCTCTATCGCGATCCGCGGTGCTCTGGCACATTCGATCTCTAGCACTTTCGCGGTTCCCTTTCGAGAGCGTTTGTGACAATATTATACTCGTAATAATATTTTTTCAAATAATTGAAATGACTGATTTTGCTGTTTGACTGTGATATAATGTAGTCATTAGTCATATACCTTCTTATTAATTAACCTGGAATAAGCTTTGACTAGATACATCGTGTTTTGTTCAATAAAATGCCATTTGTCATTCAATGAACAGAGACAAAACATGGAGTAACTAATCCAGGCTTATTCTTCGTTTATTAATAAGGGGGGTTGGAGTTTTGACCATAAATTTAGGATTTCCCTTTTATTTTACCAAAATTTTCTTAATCTCAAGATATCAAAAGAGTTTCTGTTAAATCTACGATTTTACAAACTGATTTCTAAATTCAAACAATTCGAAGATTATCTAAAAAATAATGCATTGAAAACAAAGGTCAAATTTTAAAGATCATTGATCCCAATAATACAGTTTCCTTGTAATAAGAAGGTCCTAAGTGCAATTATGCATTATCTATAGAAGAAGAAAAAAACTGATTTGACATTTTTAAGCGGATTTTCGCGCATGTGGGTCAGGAACAGCGGTGGGCAAAGTACGGCCCGCCGACGGGTTTTCAATTTGGATATTAAATGGTCTGAAAAAAATGACTTTCGAAGATAGGATGTTAAAAATTAGGTGTATAAAAGTTGAAATTGACATATGACTGTTAGTCATAATATGTCAATTTCAACTCTAAAGGCCTTCTTTAAGAATTTAATAAATTTTATGGCCCACCATTCAAAAAGTTTGCCCACCAATGGTCAGGAATCAGTCGGTTCAATCATACCTTATGCCAATAGTTAAATGCTGTTGTCGAGAGCAGTTTTAATTTTTGCCAAAGAAGCAAACTCCATTTTTCCTTTATCAGGTGAGTACCCTGCGGCGATGCAGCGCGGCGGGCAGGCGTTTGCGCCGACCTCCACTACGCACTGTCTCGTCCTGGCCGCCTGCCTCTTCATCACGCTGTCTTGACACCTACACACTATTGACAACATGTAAATAAAACGATATCCACCTAATTCGCCAGTCTATAGTCACCGTTACGAACTCACACCACAACTTCACTTCCCGAGTACGACGTAAGCGTGACTATACACTGGCCGAATTACACTCACTATTTTATAGTATGGGTTGTGTTATGTACAATATAAATAAATCGCTGAGCGAGTAGCGTATGCTTGTTTCGTATAGAGAATTTGTATATACTGTACTATAAAAACTAAGCTTATTTATTGTTGTGTTTTTTAATCTGTGGATACAATTAGGTGTTTTGTTTTCCATTTTCTAGCTCCGTCAACTTAAAATGGGATCCTGCGTATAGTTTTGTAATTAAGAATCCAAATGTTCTAATGTTACATTATCGAGACCATGTCTGTAGAATTCGTCATTATATACAGTGATACATGATAACATACCTATCTATGTAAAGGATCTGACGTCTAGGCTCAGCGCACACCGGGAGAGGCACGGCTAAGAAGGTACTGAGAAGTCGACAATTTCAGTTAAACCCTAATTTTTATAACATAAGTTTTAAATTTTCATGGTAAATATGCAACAATACACACGCGGCGTACAGCACTGGGAAGCGGCCAAGAGAGCCAGCGCATGGCTGTTCCGCTCCGTGGCTCTTAGCTGCGCTCGAAGTCGCCGCGCTTAGTATCTTTGCCGCGCCTCCCGGTGTGCTTTGTGCCTAAAGTAAACATTAGAATCTGAAAAATAAAGATAGTTACACAGGAATGTATAAACAGCTGACAATACTACGATAAAACACAAAGTTTAGGAAGAGGACTGTACATAGTTATAACTAAATATAAAGTTATACGATCATACTATTTAGCTTTACATAAAATCGTTTAAGGGAAATGTACATTGTAAGTAAATATAGTATTTTAATGGTGGATTCCAAACAGTTTTGTAAATATTTCACATAAAGAACTTACCCAGACAGGTTGGAACTAAAGTTGAGAAAAATAGTTATGCGAAAAATATGTTTTTTATCAGTATCAAATATAGAAAAAAATACTTTCTATATTTGATTCTAATCAAAAACATCTTTTTTCTAAATTTGATTAAAGTTTGGTTTACTTAAAAAACCAACCTGTTTATTAAGTTCTTACCACTAAAATTATACATATGGGGATAAGTTAATAACAAGATAAGCGTAAATTTAGAGATTAAAGTTATAAATTTTACAGGTTATTTAGACATGAAACCTAATTTTCAAAAATAAACCATTGCTAATACAACCGGATCCATCGCTCACAGCCAGTGCAGTCACACCACGACTCTCGCTCTTATTGCTACGTGATAAAGGTGTTTTTATAACAGACTGTATATATCATCGTGGCTTCGGTTGTATGTTCCCTACCGTTCTTCCCCTTCTGCATGTTAATTCCAATCATCTAAACTATGAAACGTTTAATGAGCAATATGTTTAAGTTTCATAAGAACCTTATTGGTAACGGTACCAATTTAACTTTGATATTTTCTAACTTTGAAAAACAAATAAAGTTATTTTTATAGCAGAATTATTTTAAGCCTATCAAAGTTTTTATGTCCCCTCCCCCCCCCCGTCCCGGAGAGAAAATACAAATTGATATCTCAAACTGAGATTGTATCGAAGTGCTTTTTAGACAGATGCTGTCGTTAAAAAAATAATGAAAAACTAAATTGATAAATTATATTATGATTAATTTGTTTTATAAAATTAGTAGTTTGTACATAAAAAGTGCTGTCCAAATTTCAGCTACAATTCTCGATGTATGGATACCTCCAATACTTGTACGGAAACTATTCCAAGAAGTGGTGTTTCTCTTGAAATTAAAATATTATTGTAATGACAGATCTCGATTATTATAACCAGTTATTATTATGTCAAAAGTTTATTATTGTATACAAATAACAATAGTATTAAATCTTGTTGTATGTATAATGGTATCAGGTGGAGCGGTACGCCGCATGATATAAATTACATGTGTAATAAACATTTAAAAAAAACAATAAAGTTTAAAAAAAAAACAATTGCGTTTCCTTCGACTGATGTCAGCTTTTATGTTTTACTTTTTGAAAGTTAATATGCTTGAAAGAAAGTTCAAATTTATTTAACAAAGAAAAAAAAGCCATGTACGAGTCAGACTCGCGCACCGAGGGTTCCGTACAAACCTGTAGGTATATAAATAAAAGTTCACCCATCACGACAATCGAGTCATAGTTATAGTATTTTTAAATATTTTTAATTATATGATGTAACTAAAAAGTTACGGTTTTCACAATTTTTCCTTTATCTGTAATATAAGAAGTTACTTCGTACCAAATTTGAAGATTCTAAGTTCACGGGAAGTATTCTGCAGGTTATGATTCCGATGCGTTTCGAAAATTTGCGGAAATTTGCAGCATAAACGGCTGCATCTTTTGATTGTTAGAAGTTTGATTTTTACACAGCTCCAAGGGATAGTAGACTTGAGAAGCAGATATAAATTTCAGTTCGATACCTCTACGCGTTCCTGAGAAAAACAGTCTTGACAGACGGACGGACGGACAACAAAATGATCCTATAAGGGTTCCGCTTTTTCCTTTTGAGGTTTGATGTGTGTATATTGCTGATTCCGGTGAAAAACCATAATATAATATGTTGACATTTGCAATATTGCTTTAAGCTTTAACCTTGTGTTTTTAAAAAAACCAAAATGTTTTTAAAAAACATAAGTTTAAAGCTTAAAGCAATATTGCAAATGTCAATATATTATAGTATGTTTTTTCACCAGAATCAGTAATATACACACATCAAAAAAAGTTTGAGATCGCTTGCAAAAGCTGTGATATCTATCGGATAGTCGGATATATTTTCAAAATTTAACTTAATCAAAAGAAAATGTTTACGTTTACAGTTAAAGTTATATATATATATATATAGATAATAAGAAATTAAAAAATAAAACTAATTTTATTTTTTAGTATTTTTTTTTAAAAAATTATACTTTAATTCAATGTCCGAAGACATTCAAATAACCATATAGTAGAGCCTCGCCACGAGTACCTTCGTCACGTTTAGACTTACTAGTTACTTACTTATTAGTTTTCAACCTACCTTGTTGTTTTTGCTTGCCAGTTATTTCACATTCATCATCAACAGCCTAGCATAGTCCACTGCTGGATATAGGCCTCTCCAAATGCACGCCACTCAGATCGATCTTGGGCTACTCGCATCCAGCTCCTGCCAGCCACCTTGCGCAAATCGTCACTCCATCGTGACTGAGGACGTCCTACACTACATTTGCCTAGACGCGGTCTCCACTCCAGACCTCGTCTACCCCAACGGTTATCGGTTCTTCAGCAAATATGGCCAGCCCACTGCCACTTCAACTTGCTAATCCGGTGGGCTATGTCGATAACTCTGGTTCTCTGTCGGATTACCTCATTTCTGATGCGATCTTTCAGAGAAACGCCGAGCATAGTCCTTTCCATAGCGCGTTGAGCGACTTTGAACCTGTGGACCAGCCGTGCCGTCAGTGTCCACGTCTCGGCTCCGTATGTCATCACAGGTAGGACGCACTGATTGAAGACTTTCGTCTTTAGGCACTGTGGGATCGACGATGTCAGGACTTGACGTAGCTTCCCAAACGCTGCTCAACCCAGCTGAACTCTTCTATTCACCTCGTCCTCAAAGTTGTTTCTACCTAACTGCAATGTCTGCCCGAGGTAAACATATTTTTTGAACAACTTCGAGAACGGCACCGTGTATTGCAATCGGTTCCGGTAGAACATGTTCATTAAACATGACCTTGGTTTTATCCAAGTTCATCCGTAGGCCGATGCGTATAGAAGAGTCAGCCAGGTCATTCAGCATCTGTTGTAGGTCCTGCAGGGTTTCTGCCATGATGACGATGTCGTCTGCAAATCGCAAGTGAGAGATGCGTTCGCCATTTATGTTGATGCCATGTCCTTTTTAGTTCAGCGTCTTGAACATATCCTCCATTGCATTAGTGAACAATTTCGGGGAAATAACGTCCCCTTGTCTCACTCCACGATGCAACGATATGGGACTTGTTTGCTGATTCTGTACTTGAACAGACATGGTGGCGGCTTCGTAGAGACATCTTATCACTTGGATGTATCGCCAGTCGACTTGGAAACGCTGCAGGGACTCCAGGACAGACCAGATTTCAATCGAGTCAAAGGCCTTCTCATAGTCCACAAATGCTAGGCACAGGGGCTGATTGTACTTCTCAGTCATCTGTATAATCTGCCGCACTGTGTGGATGTGGTCTATGGTGCCGTATCCGCTCCGAAACCCAGCCTGTTCCAGTGGTTGGAAGTCATCAAATATTCGCGCAAGACGGTTCGCGATCACTCTTGAAAACAGCTTATAGACGTGGCTTAGAAGGGATATGGGTCGATAGTTCTTAAGTAGGGTCTTGTCCCCCTTTTTAAAGAACAAGACGACCACACTCCTATTCCACGCCTCCGGAGTTCTCCCTTCGAACAGGACAGTGTTAAAAAGCTTTTGGAGCTCCCTCAGTACGGGTTGACCTCCAGCCTTCAAGAGTTCTGTTGTAACACCATCCTCTCCAGGGGCTTTTCCATTTTTAAGCTCTCCAAGAGCAATCTCGATTTCGCCAATACTGACTTCTGGCAGGTCTTCGGTGAAGTGGCGTATTAATGTGGCTCTAGAATCCTCATGTCCGGGATCGATTTCATGTGATGCGTATAACTGGCTGTAGAACTCTTCCACTTCCGAAAGGACTGCCGGCTTTGAAGCAACAACTTCCCCACTTGCTGTGGTCAACTTCGTCAGATGGCTTCTTCCAAGAGATTGTACGAACACTTTGGACCCTCGATTCTGCTCGATCGCTCTCTCGATCGAGAGAGTATTGGAGCATCGGAGGTCGTGTCGTACGTGCTTACTGATCTCTTGGTTTAGAGTCCGCTTTGTTTGCTTTTTATTTCACATTATTTTTTTGTAATATTTTATTTTCCAAGTGACCGTGGGGCAGATTTGAACAAAGCAAACGGGGCATATTTGAATGGGTCGTTACCTGTTCAGCCGTTGCGTGTCCAGAGTATCTCGCATGCACTGTGCTATCTTCTGCATAGCAATGAATATTCGAGAGTGGAACCAAATCATTGATATGCAGCAGAAAGAGTGTGGGGGATAGAACGGAGCCCTGAGGAACACCGACATTCAATGACATGAACTGCGATCTACATCCGATCTACATCCGTAAGGGTGCGAATTCTACGCTCAAGCAGGAGGTCAGCTACCCAGGCGCAGAGCTGAGCAGGCAGGCCGCATATCAATACCAATGATTTGGTTCCACTCTCGAATATTCATTGCTACGCAGCTAGCTATAGTATAGTGCATGCAAGATACTCTGGACACGCAGCGGCTGAACAGGTAGAAACCAAGGAGAAACGGGAGAATCTTGTCGTTGAACTTAATCAGGCTTTGGACCACATTTCCGAATGAGGTACCAGGAACTTGGTTACGTTTAATGCCAAGAAAATTCAGGCTTCCGCTTTCACGGCAAAAACATCGGTATCCCTTCCCCTTCCCTCTCTTCAGGGCACAACACTGGCGCTACAGAGCAGCATTACCATGCTCGGTATGGAAGTTCGGTCAGACCTGAATCCAAAGGACAAGGGTTCGGCGATGTTTCATTGACATATGCTGCCGCAGACTATTTTATAAAACTACAGCTGGACAATTTTTAAAGGGAAACAAATCCATTATACATGATTTTTGGGTAACTTTAACTTTTACCGTTTTTGCAACAGTTTTCATCGATGCTCCGATTCTGTTGGTCCTAGAGTAATGATATACCTATAGCCATCCTCGATAAATGCACTTTACATTTTTTCAAATCAGACCAGTGTTTAACCAATAAAAAAATCAAACCCCAGCCTCATAATATTAAAAGTAGGTATATCTAATTTTCACGGAAGGTTTATAATTATATGAAGAAAGTGCCATTGTGTTTAATA